CAGAGCAGTGCTGAGCGTGACGCTCACTAACAAGATCAGACCAATTACTAAGCTGAATTCTGTGCTGCTTCCCTCGCTGAAGCGAAGGTGCCATCGGGGAGAGCTGTACTGCTCAGCACATCAGCTGTCCACATACACAACACTTAGCATAAGCAAATAAATCTACAGTTTGCCTAGGAACACAGGCAGCAGCATCCAGATGCAGGCCAAAGGGGTTCGTGGTGATACAGCCCAGCCTCATTGCTTTACAGAAGAGCCTTACCCTCTTCCGTGACTTCCCAGAAGAATCACCGGCCACGCACTGAAGTGAGGTCTCCAAGTTATCACTTGGAACTGCTACATCCTCCAGCAGCGATGCTCCCTCTTCCCCCTCCTCTGCTCCAGTAGAGGAAGGAGGCCCACCTGCAGTGCATTCAGGTATGGTCTCTGAGGTATTTATCAGAGCTCTTGGGCTCTCCATCAGCAGTCCTCCCTCCTCCTCCTTTGTTTCAGTGGCAGAAGAAGGCCCATCAGCACCTTCTCCCTTCACATCTCCTCCAGGCTCTGCTCCTGGATCAGGGACTGGAGCGAGCTTCCCCTCTCTTCTTTCTGCAATGGAGGCAAGGTTCATGGTTAAACTAGAAGTCAGGAAAGAAAACAGATCTCAGCTGGTGGTGAGCAAGCAGGGTCTGCCACTGAGTAAATGTATCAGTTGAAGACACAGGAACTGCTTTGTTGTTCCCCGTTCAACACCTACCACTAGCAATGACACCATCCTCCATCCCTAGCACAGCCTCCTTCCCTCTCCAAGGCCCCTGTGGTCAGCAGCAGAATAATTTAAGAAACCACTCTACTAGGGTACTGATCTCTCTCTATACTACCTCCAGCTAACATTCTCCTGGCCAAAGCAGCAGGCGCTGGGAACCACAACCGCCTGTTGAAATGCTCAAGGACCCCCAGGATGTGCGGTGACAGTACACTGGCACCTCTCAGCTTTCTCAACCTCCTGGACTGGCTGTGTGACCTCTACCACGCAGCTGAGTGTTGTGTCCAGGGAGGCACCAGAAGCTCCCTTATCTTCAATAGTTTTATCCGGCCCCTAAAACCTGTGGAAAGGCAGCTCAGATCTGAATCAGGCATCAGAGTAGGCCTCCACCTCCTACAGACCTGTTTTACAGGCTCTTCAGCACTGTCTCTACCCCAATTTTGAGAGCAGGAACTTTTAACCTCTTTGAGTAGAGATCAACCAGCATCAAAAACCATTGATTTCCTCTGGGTATTTTTGGGAGCGGGAGCACAAAAATCAAGGTGAAGGTGGCTTACAGCCCCTTTGAGTATTACAGCCCAAAGGCTGCACCATGCTTAATGGCAGCGAGCTGTTTTGTACCCGAAGCAGGCACCCTTTGCAATACTTTTTCACATCCAATTTACCATCATGCCATTATCTGAAGAGCTTACACTTTTCCCTGAGCTTTTCCTGCTCCTCAGTGACTCCTCTGTTGACAGGGCTCGACCTGCATACATTTACTTGGTAGAACTCCCTAGTGCCCCAGAGAGAGCAAGCATATTTACCTGGTAAAATTTAACTTCACCATATTTACAACTCCTTCCACCACCTTTAATCATTGCCAGAAGCAGGGACAAAAGCTTTTGGACTGCCAGGATAGATGCTTTGGATGTTTTTCCTACAGCATCAAAGACCTGGAGATGGAGGGTTTGTTACCTTGCCATTCTGGGTTGCAGAGGGATTTGCTAAGAATTGACCTCGTCAGGACTACAGCAGGCTGATTCTGATTTAGCGTATTCTTTTCAGATCCTACTTCTTCACATCAACACACCAAAAGCAATTCTGGTGGCCCAGGTCATTCTCTCTTTAAGCAAATAAAGGATTAGGAAATATTTCCCCCTGTGTAACTACATTAATTGTGTACTTGATTCTGCTACTGTTCATAGAGGCAGAATTAGCATGTTGTCAAACAGAAGCTCAGGCAGTGAATTCTAAACCTAGCAATAAGTTGAAGATAGGAAATTCTGGTTCAAGAGGGACTAGACTGATGGTGTGGTTTAACGCAGCAGGCAGCCAAACACCACACAGCCATTCGCTCACTCCCCCCACAGTGGGATGGGGGAGAGAATCGAGGCAGGGGGGGAAGGTAAAACTCATGGGTTGAGACAAAAACAATTTAATAGAAAAGAAAGGGAAAATAACAATAATGATAAAAGAATATACAAAACCAGCTTTCCCCCAGTGTATGTGCTGGGCACAACATCATATGGTATGGAATAGCCCGTGGCCAGTTGGGGTCACTGTCCTGGCTGTGCCCCCTCACAGCTTCTTGTGCCCCCCCAGCCTCCTCACTGGTGAGACGGGGTGAGAGGTAGAAAAGCCCTTGGCTCTGTGTAAGCTCTGCTCAGCAATAACAAAAACATCCCTGGGTTATCAACATTATTCTCATCCTAAAGCCAAAACACAGCGTTATGCCAGTTACTAGATAGAAAATAAACTCTATCCCAGATGAAACCAGGACAACTGCTCTTTGTAATACAGCATTCCATAAAAATGGCACCAGTTCACTCGCAAAATGGAAGCAAGTTCAGCACTGGAAATCCGAGTGTGGAGAACACGTGTAGGAGGTGTCAGCAACTGACTTCCTTCATTCTCTGTCCCCCACCAGTCACTGCAAAGTGAGGAAAACTCCATCTCCAGCAAGTAATGCAAGGGATGTTTGAGACCACAGCAGCACGTAATGACCCGGCCAGAGCAGAGCAGCCCCGAGCTACACAAGCACTGGGGCTCACACCAGAATGAGTGGACACCCGCAGCCTCCGGTCACCGTGCAGCCCCGGGGCACGCCGGCCCCCTGAGCCAGCCAGCCCTCCGCACAGTGTCCCCAGCTCACCCCACAGTGTCCTCCTACCTGAATCCTCGTCCCCAGGGCCGGCGGCGGGAGCCAGTTGGGCCCCACATTTGCTGCAAGAACCAGGAGAATCATCCCCAGAAACAGTGTGACACACCTGGCACTTCATGTTTCCCAGGCACAAGCTCTGCGACAAGCTTTTTCGGAGCCACAGAGGGAGAGAAAAGGACGGGGCAGAAAGAGAAACACAAATATTAATGTGAAGTAAGGAACCTGTGCCACATAACCATCCTCCCGGCTCCCATTTTTGTTTTCAGGAAGCAAACTGCGACAGCCCAGAGCAAGGCCCTCAGCGCGGGGGCTGCGCCAGCTCTCAGCCTGGGGCGGGGGAAGCCACAGACGCTGTAAAAAATAAACAAATAAGAATAGCTCCTTCCCTCTGCACAGAGACCTTTTGTAATGAAACGCACTGGGGAACGCACCGGGCCCGGCTGGGCCCA